GGGCTCTACAGGCTGTCCAGCTGGCACCATGTCAGCGATGCAGGAACACGTGGGTGGGCTCCAGAAAACCCTGGCAGTGCAAAAGATGAGCAGCAGTTCGATGATGCCAAGGACCTGCTGCCTCCAGCTGGCTTACGCTGCATAGCCAGGCTGGTGGTACACAGGAGTGGTGGGGAGACTGAGGCGGAGGAAGGTCTCTGCGTAGCCTCCTGGATGGGGGAGGCCACCAAGAGAATAGGGCCACCAAGAGGATAGGGCCACCAGGATGATCTGGACTGGGAAGCCTGCCATATGAGGACAGGCTGAGAGAACTGGGTTTGTTCACCCTTGAGAAAAGGAGGCTTGGAGGGGATCTCATCATCACACACCAGTACCTAAGGGGTAGCTACAAGGAAGATGGAGACTCCCTTTTTACAAGGAGTCACATGGAGAGGACAAGGGGGAATGGACACAAATTGCTCTTGGGGAGATTCTTGACTGGACATGAGAGGGAAATTTTTCACCATGAGAACAGTCAACCATTGGAATAATCTCCCCAGGGAAGTGGTTGACTCCGCCACATTGGACATTTTTAAGATGCAGCTGGACAGGGTGCTGGGCCATCTTGTCTAGACTGTGCTCTTACCTAGAAAGATTGGACTGGATGATCCTTGAGGTCCCTTCCAACCTCCGATTCTATGAATCTGTGATTCTATGATGTCTCAAGAGCCCAGCCCAATGCTCCCCACCAAGTCATGACAGCAGGCAAATGGTCCCACAGCTCTTCCACAGTCCGTCCTTGCCTTGGCGTGCCCCAGCCTGGGGGCATGATGGTGATTTTGCGTTGCCTGCCTGGGCTGCAAACTACACTTTCTGAGATAGTTAGCAATCATTATTGAAAGATGCAGTTTTTAATTACAAAACACGTAAGGATTTTCAAATAATTGGGTCCCAAAGAGAAAGAAACGCTCTTTTCAGAGGAAAATACAGTAAAAATTAATAGGGGCTGGAAACTAACTGAGTCCTATTCAGAAGTCAGTAAAACCCATGGCAAAGACTTGAAAAGGCTGTAGAATTTTTTGCTTTTCCTGGAAAACCAGTCACTTTCTTACCATAGCAGGCATAAAAATTGCTATTAAATTATAGGGAAGGTACTGAAACACTTGTTTTCTTAAGGGGAGGAATTACAAAATAGCTATCATATGTCACGCAAAAAGAAAGGTGCTTATAAAATAGTATGTGCTTTGAATTTGTTACAGAAAGTGATTTCCAGTTCTGTAATTTTTCAGATTTTTTTCAAATGTGTTCCATCTGCATTTTCTTCCTTTTCTTCTCTTCCTATGGGACAGTCCATAAACATCAGCAAACCATTTGGCTGTCCTTATCCTGAAATACCTTTTCGCTGCACCTAAAAAAAATCAAACCTCCTCACAGTCAGGTGCTGCTTTTTTTTCTTCTTATCGTGAGCCCATCTGCCTGCTGGTGTTGCGATGCCATTGTTCCCTGGTACTTGGCTTTTAAGGGCAGGAGTCCGTTCTTTGTTTTTAGCTTGTACTGTTCTGAAACTGTTAGTCCTGATCTACGACTGAAGGATTAGGCCAAAGCCAAAGTGCATCAGAAATGTGCTGTAAAGACTGTTACGTTCCTTCCATCCATCTTCAGCAGCCCCGATGGCCAGGGAGCGGGTGAACTAGAGGAGCCGAGGCAGAGGCCCAGCCATGTTGAAGCCCAGCTGTTATTCACACAGGCGCTTGCCAGCCTTGGTGGGAAAGGTCACAGAAGCTGGAGGAGATTTATTTGTCATTTGACATTTTTGTCCATTTTTATCTGGGTAGTGTGATCCAACAGTCAAAACTTGGAGAAATGCTGGCTTAGGCACTAGCCCAGCAAGTGTGATGAGTGAACACAATAACAAGGGGGAAAAAAAAGTTCAAGATGTGCCTGAAGTTACATAAAGTGAATTAGGCTGCAGTGCCCTGCCAACTCTTTATTTCAAGGTAGTTCAGTAAAGTTTTTCTGGGATTATGCTCTTTAGAAGATGAGAAAAGGGGTAAGAAAATTTCTCAGGGATATTTTTCACTGGTAGCACAACATCCCACAAAGGACACTGGAAATAGAAAACCTGCTGTTTCTGCAAAGAGAGCTTCTCAGTAGCCATCTGTGACTTTCTAAGCATATAGCCCTGCCCAAGATTTAATTCTGGTTTAGCCTGAATTAAGAGGTAGGCCTCTCTTGGGCTAGCGCTAAATGCACCAAGATCCATTTTCAGCTCTGAGTGAGCTACAGCTTCAGATGGCTCAGAAGTGTGGGTGCTGTGCTGTGCTGTGCATTGCTTTTGGGGCAAATGAGCAGGTTTCAACAGGATTCTGGAGGAAAGATGCTCTTTGAAATGTATCATCGTATCTTGCTTGTGGCCTCTCGTCTTCCTGAATCTTCCTTCAGGCTCCCTCTAGTGCTTGTAGTGTGTATTACTACCCCCTTCTTCAGTCCTGGTTTTGGCCTACATTTACAGCGGCCTAAGTTGAGTGACACCACTCAGTTTTCTGAGGTTCATATAACATAGAGATGCAATTAGCGAGTTTTTCAGTTGGCTTTAAACAGGATGCTTAGTTGACCCAATTTAGACTTTTCTGGTTTACACTACTACCATCCAGAGGATTGAAAGTTCACTTCCTCTGAAGCCATATATTTCTGCCTGGGAAATGAAAGGATGCGTGAGGACAGCCACCAAACAGTTGCCTGCACAAACTATCCAGCTCTTGCAGGTCTGGCTGTGGGAAACATAAGAAGCAAGTCCTAAGCATCATTGCAGATTAGGCTCTTGAGCTGCTATCAGTTTATTCCAGTAGTGTTTGCTCCTCTTTCTGCTCCTGGCTACAATGCAAAGGCGAATGAAATGAGAGTGTTAAGAGGTGAATTACGGTTTTTAACACTAAGCCACACTTGTGGATGTGATGCTTATAGAAGTGATATGCTGAGGCCATTCTCATGTTACAGTATTTACATGCAGAAAACCCAGCAGCAGTGAAGCAGGCTAACTCCACCCACGAACTCGAGCCCAAATTTCCACTCCTCCATGGATTCCCCCTGCTTCCCACCAGCAATATGTTAGGCCCATTTGCTGCCATTCTGCCACAAATCCCACTTGTGGGGTGAAATGCTGGGCAGTAATGCCCTGTTTTGTCAGCATGGAATAATTTGCTGAGCAGGGCTAAGTCTGCTTCCCCATGCAAAACGCTGCAGAGACTAACTTCCAGGCACCAAGCTACTTCTGTGAATTGATCACATGAAAACAAAAGTGTTCCCTCTCCCTTTAAAATGGCTGGAAGGAGAAGGTTGTTTAAGAATGGTGCCATACTTGCCAAATGTCCCATTCCTGGCACCAGCAGCCACCTGCTCCCTGTGTTGGGCAGCAGCCTGCCTTTTTGGGGACAGAAGGAGATATGCTCGAGCTGCCACTGAGGCTGTCCAAAGGAGGCAGATGGTAGCAAGGTGATGTGATGGTGTACGTGGGCATGATGGCAAGCTCGGGCTGTAGCCTCTGAAGCAAGTCCAAAGCCCAGGGTTGGTCCCTGTAAGGGAAAAAGCCAAAGGGAAAAAAAGGCATAACTGTTCTCATTACGCTGATGTTTTTTATTTTTTTATATAATTTGCTGGAATTATTTTGTTCTTAGCAGTGTATATTTTTGCAACAGTATCATCCTCCCTTAAAACTCAAATGATTGATCTCAGATATTTGTGGGAGTACTCAGACTGATTTCAATAAGCTTTTTCATAGTCATCATTTTTATTATGAAAATCTATGTCCTGAGATGTTATGTACCCCAGTGGCAGCAAACCTGCTGTGCAATTCAGTGAGTTATAATGCAACTCACTAACGTGCTTGAAATAATGAGGTTGTTTTGTTCAGCAGGGTATGATGAAAAATAGAAGCTACTGCTGGGAGCTCAGATTTTCTTTAAATTCCTGGCAGAAAAGGTTGCCTATTAAAATACCGTTGTGGGTTGCTATGTTTGTATATTCTTTAACTTCCATTTCATGCTGGACAATGAAGAGGCCAGAAGAGGTTTTTTTCTTACCTTCTGCCCAGTGCATACCGACAGTATGTTCAACTGAAGCCTTGCGCCCTTCTGATGCTGTTGGAAGTGAACATCGGCTTACATTAGACTAAAGGCAGAGAGAAACGGTGGCCATGCTGGAATCAGCAGGAGATCCGAGCTTTGGGTTCAGTAGCACTGAACCCTGGGTGTCAGGGTTCTCATGTCTAACCCTCTTCCAGGCAACCTCTTCTTAGTATGGGATGAGAAAGAGCTGAGTTGATCCCTTCCCACTTCTTGCCTATCTGGAAGTTGAGGAGAGGGTACGGATTTCTTTCCTTTAGCTAATGGGAAGCCTTTATAGCTGCCCTTCAGCTTTAGTCTCTCCCATCCATCTCTTGCCTTCTCAGTGTAATTGGTAGACCGTCATTCTGTAGATGATTCATCTGGTCCCATAACTTTGTTTTCTGCTTAGTAGTAGAAGCTGGTTTGTCAGAAAAATAGCTTTGAGTCAGCGATACCTTTGGAGAAAAATCTATTGAGAGAAAAAGGTGCCAGTTTTACAAGATTTTTTAGCCGTTGCCTGAACCTAATTGGATCTTACAAACCCAGCATGTGAGATGACCTATGTCGCTTTTAAAAGAACGCTTTCCTCATAGCACTTAGACCTTGACATAGATGCTAATGAATCCATAAAATGTCTTAGCATCTGGCAGAGGAGCCTTCAGGGCGTCAAGCAGAACAGGAGATAAATGGAAGTGCTCTGTGTACATAAGGTTGCAGAACTGGCTGTGGCTGCCAGTTAACTGGATTTAATAACCTGCAGAAGTCCATGTGATTTCAGCTTAAGTTTGATTTATATTTTGTTTGGACCAGTTTTCTCCATTATAGATGCCCAGCTTTACAATTAGATGTGCAGTTTAAAGTAGCTGCTATCTCCTATTTGCAATTTAACCCAAGAGGGTTGATTTTCCCCTTTCACAGGGCCGAGGCGGCAAAGGAAGCATCTACGTCTGGGCCTCCGGAGATGGGGGCAGCTACGATGACTGTAACTGTGATGGTTATGCATCGAGCATGTGGACAATCTCCATCAATTCTGCTATAAATGATGGACGGACGGCTCTGTATGATGAAAGCTGCTCTTCAACCTTAGCCTCCACCTTTAGTAATGGGAGGAAGAGAAATCCTGAGGCTGGCGTGGTGAGTCCAGATATTATTGTCCTGTTGCCGCTGTCTTTGTGCACTCCTACAGCCTATTAGAACTCTGTCTGCTTTGGAGCAGCAGATGGTCCTTTGTTGAGATGGATATTTTCTCATCTGCAGTACACAATCGTGCCAAAACTGTCAGCTGAGGAGATCTGGGATTAATATTGAGAAAAGCAACGATCTTCCATCTCTTAGAGCTTCATGTAGTTGGTGCTTTCTTTTATCAGAAACCAGATTTAGAAGTTCAATTGCACTCTTTCGAGAGGACAGTGTGATAAAAGGTCTCTGTAAAAATCTAAATGAAAAGTGTCAACATCTGAGATCATACTTACTTGTACTGGCAGAGCAGTCGTGAACCAGACTTACACTGTCCTAGAAGCTGCACAGAGCAGACAGACATTCAGTCACCTACAGAGGAAACGCGGGGGTTTGGATCACCCTCAGCCAGAAGTGCAGAGCATCGTACTCAAGTCCCCTATGGGGCCGTGCCTACCACTGGAAAATAGGCAGTGTCTGTTCAAGTGTAACTGGGGTTCTCATCCCCTGTACTGATCACTGCTCTTCAGCACCTTCAGGCTAGCCAGGACATAGCCTAATTCACAGAGTGGAAAATTCAGATGTAAAAACTCAAGGTCGGTCTTTGCCAAAAGCTTCTGTACATTTTCCATGGCCCTGTCTCAAACCCAAAGACACATTGTAGCATCCTAAATGCCCCCCTGCAGTAGCAGATGGAAAAATACTGGTTTCTGTCTTGGTATCAGCTCTCTGCTGATGCCAGCCAAGATTATCTGTGGCACCCTTGTAATTATCACCGTAAAATGTACTTCTAAGGTTTCCTTCTGGTCTCTTCTAGTGACTAATCTGCATAGAAGATAGCAACCTGACACTGCCTGTTGGTTCTGGAGTTGCACAAATGTTAAAAAGCTCAATACTGCTAACAATTCTAGTTTCAAATCCTTTTGGTAACCACAAGGGAATTTAAGGCCTTTGGTTAGACTGTGTTTGTGGGAAATAAATTACATCCATATGAGTTTATGACTTCTAAGTGGTAATGAACGTTGTTTTCCTACATCATAATTTATTCTTGCATTCACACCTTCTGTAACTGTGTCTCACTGTGGTTTTAAACTGATACTCTATTCTAAAAAAGAAAACAGATCCTAGGAACAAACACACAAATACTCTAAAGAGCAAAGGCACAAACTCCCCTTTCTGTATTTTTCTGAGTCTGTAGCTGCAAGGAAAATGGACTAGCTAGTTTTATTAATTACATTTAATATCATTGCAGGCTACAACGGATTTATATGGCAACTGCACCCTGCGTCACTCCGGAACGTCTGCAGCTGCCCCTGAAGCAGCTGGAGTGTTCGCCTTGGCCCTGGAGGCTAAGTATGCTGTTGAGAAATTCCTTGTGAGCTCTAGACAGGAGAGGACCTGTGGTTTGCTTAATGTTGTTTCATCGTACAAGTTGGCTGGCTGTAGCACGGGGCTAGAACGAGCAGCTAACAAGCTGCCTGCCGCAGCAGTGGCACGCTCGGTAACTTACAGATGGAGTGACAGTCTTGCCAAAGCCCTATAACAGATATATTCTGGCTGATTTGCTCTCTGTGTCCTCTCCATCCACTGCTTCCAGAGATTCATCTTCTCCAGCACTGTTTGGAGGGAGAGATTATTCCATTTCTCTGCATATCCAGCGGGGAATGCCCAGCCTACAAAAACATAGAATCATAGAATCGTTTAGGTTGGAAAAGACCTTTAAGGTCATCAAGTCCAACCTTTAACCTAACCCTGCCATCCCAATATAAGAACACACCTATAGTATCAGACAGGAGTTCATCTTGTACCACATACTGTCTGCAATGACAGATGCTATGGGGAGAGTACAACAAACGGGGATTAAGAGCAATCTTTCAGGAGCAGCTTTGGCAATCGGAGCTTTGGAGAGAGAGCAGTCAGCCTGTCCTGTTTAATAGCCACAGGCAAATTTATCTTCCTTGAATTTGTCTAACTCTCTTTCAACTTGTCTGTATTTGGCACCTGTGTCATCCAGTGGCAATCAGTTCCACAGTAATAATAGTTTTTGGCAATGGTAGTGGGGAATGTTTCCTTTGTTTTTTCTTAACCCATTGCTGGTAATTTGCTTCTGTGCTACATAATTGCTCTGTTATGGGAAAGAATAAATATCCATTTCAATTTACCATCTCCCTGCTATTCATGACATTGGAGACCTCTTGCTTCATTATCTTTTGCTCTAATGATTAGGAAATTTTTCCTTAGATTAGCCTATACCATCTACTTACTTTGTGTTACATTATTTTATGAAGTGAGACAACATTTGCTCGGGTATACAGCTCCAGGTGCTATAACCATGGCATGAAGTAAGCCCTATGTACATAGTTTTCTTCAACAGTATGCAGAAGAATGAAGATGTGGCAGAGGAGGCAACGTTTCTGTCACTAGCAGAGCAATGATTGTTGTGCTCAGAGCATGACCTGGGCCAAGTGTCATTTTTCAGGTTTTATACACATAAAACACACTCGCCGAGTGTTTTAACTTTGGATGATCAATCCTTCTGCTATCAAATTCATTCAGTGGGACAGCCATGATGTAATAAATAATTATGGCCATAAAAATACTAAGGTTTAATGAATTTGCTGACCGCTGCATGTTTAACCTGGACCACAACCTTAGTATCTCAGTAATAATTAACATTTGTCCTCATTTGGGATATCCATGAAAACTGGAATTACTCTTTGCAAACTATCATGAGTAGAAATTAGACTAACACCCCTGGTTTGCAATTGGGTTTCTGGCTTTTGCGGAGAAGAAGGGTGGAGGTGGGTGTTGAAGATAGAAAGAACTGTCAGTGTCTCCTATCTCTTTCCAGGCTGGCTATATTAAACCTCCATTTTAGTGTGCAGAACTACCCTGGATGAGTTACACTAGCCTTCACAGGAATGGCTAACAATTTCCCATGCAGATGACTGCTGCCTGCCATATATCTGTCAGCTCATACATGATATATGTCTGGCACATCTCTAAAAACAGACCAATCTGTGAAATGGAAAGTACTATTTTAAGATATGTAGCAGCTCTTAAAAGGTTTCAGTAAGAATGATGCAAGTGATACCTGGTTTTCAGTTATCTTGTGTCATGTTGGAAAAATGGCAGTAATTGGCTATTCTGGTGTATATTCAGCATGCACACATGCTTACTACTTGGGCACAGAAAGCTGAAAAGCGGGTCCTTTTAGGTTGATGGTTTGAATCAGACATTGTAATGTTGAAAGAGTTCATCATAAACCAACTGGAAATAGCTTTAGTTATGTAGAATTAGAATGTCAGTTCTAAAGCTTCCAGAATACCTGGTCAGGTCTGTGGGACCTGATGAGATGCATCCCAGAGTCCTGAGGGAATTGGCTGATGTAGTTGCCCAGCCCCTCTCCATTATATTTGAAAAGTCATGGCAGTCAGGCAAAGTCCCTGATGACTGGAAAAAGGGAAACATTGTACCCATTTTTAAAAAGGGTAGAAAGGAGGACTCCGGGGACTACTGACCTGTCAGGCTCACCTCTGTGCCTGGGAAGATCATGGAACAGATCTTCCTAGAAGCTGTGCTAAGGCACATGGAGGCCAGAGAGGTGATTTGAGATAGCCAGCATGGCTTCACCAAGGGCCAGGTCCTGCCTGACCAAGCTAGTGGCCTTCTGTGATGGAGTGACTACATCAGTGAACTAGGGAAGAGCTACGGTTGCCATCTATCTGGACTTCTGTAAGGCCTTTGACACAGTCCCCCACAACAGCCTTCTCTCTAAATCAGAGAGATATAGATTTGATGAGTAGACTGTTCAGTGGATGAGGATTTGGTTGGGTGGTTGCATCCAGAGGGTAGTGGTCAACAGTGCAATGTCCAGATGGAGATTGGTGATAAGTGGTGTCCCTCAGGGGTGCGTACTGCGACCAGTGCTGTTTAGTATCTTCAGTGACATAGGCAGTGAGATTGATTGCACCCTCAGCAGGTTTGCAGACAGCACCACGCCGAGTGGTGCAGTTGACATGCCTGAGGGATGGGATGCCCTCCAGATGGACCTGGACAAGCTCAAGAAGTGGGCCCACGTGAACCTCGTGAGATTCAACAAGACCAAGTGGTCCTGCACTTCGGTTGAGGCAACCCCCAGTATCAATGGAGGCTAGGGGGAAAGAAGGGATTGAGAGCAGCCCTACCGAGAGGGACTTGGGGGTACTGATGGATGAAAAGCTGGACATAAGCCAGCAATGTGCACTCACAGCCCAGAAGGCCAACCATACCCTGGGCTGCATCAAAAGCAGCGTGGCCAGCAGGTCAAGGAAGGTGATTCTGCCCCTCTGCTCTGCTCTGGTGAGACCCCACCTGCAGTGCTGCATCCAGCTCTGGAGCCCTCAGCACAGGAAAGACATGGACCTGTTGAGGTGGGTCCAGAGGAGGCCACAAAAATGATCCACGGGCTGGAGCACCTCTCCTATGAGGACAGGCTGAGAGAAGTTGGGGTTGTTCAGCCTGGGAAAGAGAAGGCTCTGAGGAGACCTTATTGCAGCCTTTCAGTACTTAAAGGGGGCTTATAAAAAAGATGGGGACAAGCAGGGCCTGTTGTGATAGGACAAGGGGTAATGGTTTTAAACTAAAAAAGGGTAGATTTAGATTGGATATAAGGAAGAAATTCTTTACTATGAGGGTGGTGAAACACTGGAATGGGTTGCCCAGAGGGGTAGTGAAGGCCCCATCCCTGGAAACATTCAAGGCCATGCTGGACGGGGGCTCGGAGCAACCTGATCCAGTTAAAGATGTCCCTGCTCACTGCAGGGGGCTTGGACTAGATGACCTCTAAAGGTCCCTTCCAACCCAAACTATTCTATGATTCTATGACAAGTGCCTATTTCTCTGCAGTGCCTATGCAAGTGGCACGAGAACAATAATTTGTAAGTGCACTTCCTGTCATCATAATCACTGCAAATCTAGGAAGACAAGAGCTAATGATGAAAAATGATCATCAAATCTAGAGAAATGTTACTTGACTGCATCCATCCATGCTAGTGTATCATGGGTGACAAACCTTTGCTATACCTTATAATGCAAACCTACAGCCACCCACAGCCCATATACCCATATTCACAGAATACTGAAATTGCTAACACCTTGATTGAAATATCTCATCAGCTTCATCAGACTGGGGCTTCTCTGGGTGAATCTCAGAAGGTCCGTGGGAAAAGCAGGAGGAGCAGGCAAGGAAAAGAGGGCAAGATTTAAGAGGAAGGCTAGGCAAAATTCTGGCATCATCCTTTTCTTTTTGTATTCCTTTCAGGATCCGGTGTAATATCCTACTCATTTTATTAGCTTAAAAATTGCCTGGTGGATCTATAATGTGAAGTTAAAAGCAGTTGTTTTCAAGAAAAGGGAAACAATCAGAAATTACTTTGCAAATTTGGGGAATATATTTTGGGGAAGTACTATACAATTAAAACCTATTCTTGTTCCCACAGAAATCAATAGAAGCTTTGTTAATAATATGTGTGTATACCTAAAATTTCTGTGTGATTCATAGAAGCAAATTTTACCAAAAGGCTTATTCAAACACACTGTCTTGTCTTCAATATCTGCTTGGAAATACTGTTTGTTTTCCATGTTACTCTTCCACAGCTTGGATCTGACATGGAGAGACATGCAGCATCTGACAGTGCTCACCTCCAAGAGGAACCAGCTTCATGATGAGGTTCATCAATGGCGTAGAAATGGCGTTGGGCTGGAATTCAACCATTTGTTTGGCTATGGTGTCCTAGATGCAGGAGCAATGGTTAAGATGGCGAAAGACTGGAAGACCGTTCCCGAGAGATTCCATTGTGTTGGAGGGTCAATACAAGAACCTGAGTAAGTGAACAGTCTGGTATATGTGTTTGGCTTCTTCCAGGCATTTAGGAGACCACAAGCATGCAAATACGTTGACAAAGACATAGATAGTCAAAGAAACAAAATGCAATTTTTTTTTTCTAAGAAAGCCTAACATCACCAGTAGCTATATCAATAAGTTGGTAAAATAAACTACGTGATCTTTGAGTTCCTGGTTTGCTGGAGGAGTGCATTCTACAGCTCATTTGTGTCATCATTGCTAGTGCCAGTAGTGTTAATAGCAACACCCATTTCTCCTAAGTATTTATAGGTATGTTTGTGCCAAAGTTTCTGTGAATAAAGAGCCTGTGTACAAGTGAAAATCTGGGAGGGTGGCGCTGTAAATTACGTGAACTGCTGCCATATGAAATATCTGTCAGCCGGGTCATATCTCCTTGTGACATATTCCAGCAGACAGTTTTATCTCCAGAAGACTGAAACAATCATCTACAGGTACCGGTGATTCAGTTTGAACACTAGAGCATTTAATTGTGTTTGGTTTATGTTCTTCAAATCTCTAATTGCAGCCTAGGTAGTCAAATTATTTTCTGATTTACCTTCATGTGCTAAAGTGAATGAGTCAACGAGTGAATGAATTAATATTAATTGACTGCAACAGCTATAGTTCAATTCAATTACTCAAAATACTAATCTAATAATGGCCAATTTATGTCTATACCATTTGAAATCTGACTTTTCGGTGCCATTTTTGAACGCGTCATTGTTCTATTGGAAAAAGAAAGCAAACTGATATACCAGCCCGGCATGTAGCTCAGCCAGGCAAAGAGTAAGTTTGTTCCCAACCTTAAGGTGGGTTTGTATTTGCAGGATCCAAGGTTCTACAGCTGAAATCGAAGTTAGTTCTAATTTACCTGGCCTATGCATGCTCACAGGCAGGAAACAAATGAGAGAGTACTGAAGCTCTCTCTAGTTTATTCATAACTTAAATGCAGACAAATAATCTCATGTATCTTAGTGCAGCCCCATTTATCGAAATGGGGATCATCCTAGAGGAGGAGAGAAAATGTCTTTCTGTAGGCTTGGCGCCATGCATTAGACAATGCGGTAGAGGTGTTCTGGCAACAGAGCCAGGCAAGTGCTCTGCAGTGGTATTGTCTCCTTCTGCTTTTGTTTTTCTGTCTCGTTTCTGTTGGTGAGTGGATAGAAAAGCAGAGGTGATGGTGCATTTCCTCCAGCCCAAGGATCTGGAACTACAGTAAAGCTTCCCTGTAGCTGTCCTTGCCCGACAGGCTCCAGAGTTGAGAAATATATTGCTTTGTGTCTTTTGAGAGTAGCACCCAGAGCAGGCTCTGTGCTTACAGCACACAGATTTGTGAAGAGATTTGAAATGCATACATCAGCAGCTGAGTTATTTCAACCAAGTCGGTCATGACCTAAGCCTCCTAGCTCAGTAGGTCTCAGTCTACAGTCTGTATGGGTGTCTCCCGATAATTACCCGACACATCTGTATGTTAATAGTACTGCTGTAATATTTATGTCCCCAAATGAAACACCCACAGGACATAATAAGAATTGTGACTTGCAACATCTACAATTTTTTGAATTACACTGTAAATAAAACTAGTGAAGTCCCAGCATCTCGATTCCTTGGAAATGAAGAGTAAACTGCATTTCTGCCATGGGTAGTTGGGTTATTTTTCCATTCTGGCCTTGCTGGAGCAACATTTTTGATATAAAATCTATATATGTTTATATAGCTACAGATATTTGTAGATATAAAATACATATTCAATATATATATAGGTGAATAGTTGATACAGGAGTGTACTGTAGGAGCATTGTCAATTTGCAGAAACAGGTGAGGAGAGAATTGACAGCCTAGAATATATAACGTGCTGAAAGCAATCAGCATTTAAAGTGTAGCGTTTCTCCACTGCGTGGAGAAACGCTCGTTAGCAACAGGAACTTCCCCTGAGGAGGGATTTTTGTTGGGTCAGCAAAAAGAAAAAAAATGGACAAGTCTGAATCTGGCTGGTCCAGGGAGATACAAAGCTGATTTTGGACAATCATAGTCCATCAGCTGAGGAACAGGAGCATGGGAGTGTGCTTCTAGAGAGCAGTTTCCTCCCCCTGCTCACCTCTAGCTGGGTACTACACTTCATGCAGAAGTGAATATGTTTATTTATCAATTGGGCAGCAGTACACTGCGAGGATGTGGAAAACCCATCTCTTCTGCTCCTTTCTCATCAGGCTTTTTCCACCACCCCTAGTTCTTTTTCTTTGGGGAAATTCACCTGGACTATAGTAATTAGTCTAGTGAAGCAGAGGGTGTGTGATCCTAATTAACAGGAAGGGGGAAACAGAACAAGCCTTTTCTCATGCGTTTTCGAGAGCTGCGGTAACTTTTGCACTGCAGCACTTAGGAAGGTGGAGAGAAAAGCTGTCTGCAGCTGTCAGGCTGTCTGCAGCGCAGATGGAGTGGTAACACTGCTCTTACTTCCTTGGGTTTTGGTGTTGACAGATAGTCATTGTGTGTCTATCTAGACACACTGTGGTGTTCTCCCTTATTTACTGGACGAGATGGGAAACACTTATCACAACTGTTGGAATGAAGCATTGTTTGACAAAGCTTTGTCTGCTGCGTGAGATTGCTATGAGACAACGTGAATTCAGATTGCTTTGAGGATGATGCTTCCCATGCAGAGAAATTGCAGGTATATGGCAAGTGTCAGATTATGATCATTCACCTCTGGCTGGTAAATAGTGCATTTTCCTTGAGCAAAATAAATCTTGAGGGTATTATATGTTCAAATATTTTAGCTGTACAATACTTATTTTATACCAGCTTATGCTCCAGGGCATCCATAAGATTCAGAACAACTCAGGTTTTTCAGTTTAAGGTGTTTAAATGCCTTGCGGACCTGGACCTGGATGTCTTTTTACTCTACAAGTACTCCCAAGAAAGCATTACTGCATGAAAGGGCAGCAGAGACTGGCCTGAGCCAATTAGTGATGTGCTAAGCTGTAATACCTGGAGCTCATCTCAGGAAGAAGAGAATTCCTGGAAGCTAGGCTTGAATGAAATGCTTCTCTGCATTCTCTGAAGAACACACCATTTCAGTAGCAAAGGGAAGAGGCTGGTACTCATTTCTTTTGAAAAGCAGGCATTCATTACTGCATGTGGTCAATGCCCTTTTAATAGGGCCTCTCTTATTTTCCTGCAAAGCCTAGGTCGTGGAGAAGCCACTGGAAGAGATAATGACAAGCTGACCGGAGTCTTTTGTGTCTTACTCCCTTTTTTAATGATTGCAGTAATTCTTGTCTTTCAAGTGTTTCTTTTAGACAGAGGAGAGTGTCACACTCCTTGCTGATGGTGAAGACGCAGAGACTTCTGTTTACACTTGCAGTGTAGTTTGCCAGCCAGTTTCGGAGGCAACTGGTAATTGCCACTCACATCCTGACCCTGCAGGGTTTAGGGGGTGCTCCACAGCCTCGGCTGCTGGCTGGGCACTGCTCCCAGGCCAGGCACCAGTGCCCTTGGATCTGCCCTGGGACCCCGAGCGGCACTGCACAGTGGCTCCCGGCCTCCTCTGCAAGAGTTCAGAAAGCGCGGATGCACCTTGCACAGGACCGAGCCTGTGCCCCATCTGTAGGTCTAGCTTCCTGGTAATACTTAGGAGAAATGTCCTTCAGTTAATTGTGAGTTTGCCTTCGTAAGGACAGTTCTGTCCTTATGAAGAAGGACCAAGAAACTTGTGACTTCAAGGTACGGCACTTTGGCAACTCAGTAAAAAAGCGCAACTTCTTCCCCCTGTGAGTGTGCTCCTGTATGGGAGTGGTTCAAGGATAACAATTTTAATGGAAAAACATTTTTCGAATGAGCTGAAACTGGGATCCCATGTTTGTGCTGGTTTCCCAAATCAGAAGAATGATGTAGGCTTTAGTGTGACTGCACTGCAATTCCGTGCGACTGGCTCCTCTGACTCCAGGCAGCCGTTTGCGGCTGTCTTTTAAGGTGACTGTCTGACACGACTGACTGCTCACGGTTCTTCTACTGAATATACACATTATTATGCAATTACCCAATATAGTAGTGATAAGTAAAGGCAGCTATTAAATATGTTAATATTTCTTAAATAGCAGTATGTGCTTAATTGTATTCCTTCTCTTTGTGTAGGTGTACATTTCATAATGCGTTTTCAAATTAAGGTTTTGATACAATTTTCTAAAAAGAGAATGTTCTCTTTCTGGCTAAGTTTGCAACTTTCACTTCCTTACTTTTCCGTGTATTAATCAGGAAAATAGCACGGGTTTTTCTGTGAGGCACCACAACCCAGTAGTTTTAGAATTAGCCATGTCATGCTATCTTGTATCCTTTTAATTTGCTTAATTATCTTTTGAACTGCAGAAAGATATCACCAAGTGGCAAGCTGGTCCTCACACTTACAACTGATGCTTGTGAGGGGAAGGAAAACTTTGTCCGATACCTTGAACACGTCCAGGCTGTTATAACTGTGAATTCCACCAGGCGGGGAGACCTCAACATCAACATGACCTCGCCGATGGGAACAAAGTCCATTTTACTGAGCCGGCGTCCCAGGGATGACGACTCCAAGGTGGGTTTTGACAAATGGCCTTTCATGACCACACACACTTGGGGAGAAGACCCTCGAGGCACCTGGGCTCTAGAGATTGGGTTTGTCGGCAGCCTGCCACAGCGGGGCGTGCTGAAGGAGTGGACACTGATGCTGCACGGGACTCAGAGCGCACCTTATATAGACCAAATAGTAAAGGATTACCAGTCCAAACTGGCCATGTCCAAGAAGGAAGAGCTGGAAGAAGAATTAGATGAAGCAGTGGAGAGAAGCCTGAAGAGTATACTGAGCAAGAACTAGTGCTGTTCTGCATGACGGTGTCTTTCCTTCCCCAGATCCCTCTACTCACCTTTCTACTATCCAAACCTCTGTGTTAGACATATTACAATGATTGTCTCTGTAGCCAAATTATCACACTTTCTTGATTTTAAAGTCTTACATCTCGTCAATAATTAATTACCACTGAAGCAATCCTTTTTTACTCTAAACTACAAATATACTGTCCCCCACCAAATACTATGTACAGTTTGTGACTGTAAATTTTTTTTTGTGTCATACAAATAGGTGATAACCTGCAAACAAGTTGATGGCTTTTCCCTTCATATTTTTGTGGTAAATGTTGTTTGTATTGAAAAAAAAAAAGAGTGAATTTTAACATTGGCAGTTGGTGATAATGGGCACATTTTATAAAATGATTGTGAGGGAATCATGAAGAGGTTGGCTGGAGAGACCTTGGAACGTCTAACAGCTCCTTTTGCATCATTGACTTCAGTGGAACTTTCCCTGTTGGGTTCAGCCAAAGTAGTGCTAGACCCTACACAAAGAAATAATCCAGAGATGAAGAAAATTTACCAATCCAATTTGCAGAAATCCAATTCTTTTGAGAGTTTTCTTTAATATATACACTTACACAACACCCACGCCAACCCTTCAGCCACAGAATGGTTCAACAGGCATGCAATAAGGAAGGCAAAGCGATGCCAAAGCCGGGTGACAAGCGGAAGTGCTTTGCAAACAGGGTCAGGGCATTCTAGAAGCACAAGTTTCAGTTTGGGGTTTGGTTTGGTTTTTTTTTTTTTACTTTTGGCAATTTAAATCCATTTACCATCTTACGGCAGAATGAGCACATAAGGAACGAGCTGTAGGATTTCTGGCAAACTGCAAAAGTGCATCTGCTCATCTCTACACTGAGATGTACTCCAGCAGCGTAAGATGAGGCTGTGCCAGCATTTCCAACCACAGACCCCTGTTTTCTGGGGTTTGCAACCTGGCTGTCAGTAAATTGCTGTGGGAGAAATTTGAAGTATGCAGTTTCAGTCCCAAAGCAATTTTTTATTCAAATTTCATTTTTAAAAATAGAGATTTGTTATTTTTATGTTATACTAATATATTTAAGGAGAAAAATACGCCTAGGTTATTAATGTATAGTGCAAAGTTGGCCGCCTTGGGAAAAAAAAATGTAGTGTGCTTGGGAAGATTTATTGGTAATCATTGCTCTTTGCTGTTTAAAGAGTCAGTCCCACCCTCGCTTTTTGTACGTGAGTAAAGTCAGTCTCTCTCGCCCTCGGAGCCTGATCTGGCTGTTGCCACAAGACCTAACATTCTTCTGGGTGGGGATTACTCATGGTAGTAACCACTACATGTTCTCAGGTGTGAGATCCCAAATTGAACCTTTGAATAATAAAGGGTCTTGATTCTGCAAATATTTAGGCACTCACTCACAGTGGACCTACTCAAATTCTGACTTTAAGCAGGTGCTTCGGATCTTTGCAGGATCCAAGGTCGACTTTTTAGCAGTGACTAGTTTCAGAATTTTATTACGTATTTTTAATACGCAGAGTATTCATCTGAAACATTTTAATAAGAGTTGTCCTGGTTAATCAGGTGCATAGTAGTAGAAACACATTCAGTAAGTAAATATTTATCTAACAAATTAAAAACATAAAGGTTATATGGTGCACACGTGTCACGTAAGAATGTATAATCTATGCTGTTATTTCTAGTGAATATCCGTCTTTTATCTTTCCATAAAAGGCCTGTTCTTTCCTTTACAAATCCAAATGCAAAATAAACAGCTCAACCTACTCCAAGTCTATGCGGGTTACACTGAAAGCCAAGGCAAGCGGGCTCCTCGCTGCGTGCAGCAGTCCCTGCCGGCAGTCGAGGCACGCTGGGATAAAACAGGCATCAGCAGGAGAAGAACCAGGCCCCGTGTGAGTTTTAGTCTTGAAGTGCTCTTGGTTATTTGTTCAAACACATATGTGTTTAATTTGGTGATTTAAAACCTAACCCAAAGGACAAGATGGGTCCATTTCAAAGCATGAACTGGAGTTCATGAGGCCTGAGCCAAAACTCACTGATGTTAAGCGGGTCAGGGAGAGGTTTGCTTGTGTCTTTGGGAGGGATCGTGCTGACGGCAGAAGGTTTCCGTGGAAGGCACCCAGTTCTCAGAAAGAGCAGCGTATACATATCAGGGGGAAGAATTTACCATATATATATATATATATTTATGCATACACCTGTATGTCTAATGCAGACAGCACACCTGTGGTATCTCTCTGTATATGTATATTACATACAATATGTATATTCAGAGTATGTTACATATATTTGCTTGCAAGTATATCTAGAATTACATACGGTATGTAATGTATAATACATACACGCACATCGTTACTTTTTGTGTGTATGTGTGCAAAGAAAGAGGTAACAGGAAGCTTTTGAAGGACTTCGAAAATGTGGAAAAAAGTTTCAGAATACAAAAAGTCCATGTGGAAATCTTGAACATGTACATGACTTCCCATTGCATTCATGTAATTTTGCAGTTCTCTGTTCAATCATTAAATATCTTATAAAGCAGCAAAATAACTAGATGGTTGTTCATATTTTCATAATGCTGACATAATTTATGAAGTGAAAGGTCATGATAATGAGTGATAGACAGAAATGGTGAGTTTTGATACAAGTATATATAAAACTAAGTGTATATACAATATAGAGATCTACTTCAAATTCTTCAGGATTTTTGCATCAGGGGGTCGCTGAAAAATATGTCCCGTTAGACTTAAGTTTTTATGGTATTGCTGATGGAAAATAAAGTTAATTTAGTATTTATAATAAAGGGGAAAAATGAAGCTTATGATTTGAAACAGGTGACCACTGTTTAACTAAAGCCCTGTGATGATGTTTTATAATACGAGTGAAATAAAGAGCTGTTGTAAACTGGCAGGTCCTATCATCATTGCCTATCCGAAGGTAGACGGGGGTTAAAATACTGCTGTAGGTGGGACGACTTCCTACGCCTCTGCTTTTTATGCTGATGAGGGAATTTGTATCCCATGTGTGCTGGATACTGAGACAAGAAACATGGGCCTCCAAAAGAGTCGACAGCAGCAGATGACAATGGACAGGCTTTATGGCAGTTCTGTCCCTGAGGAAGCACAACAGCAGGGTTGTTCGGAGCACTTTGAACAACACAAAAAAAACCCCACCCCAAAACCAAACCTTAGTTCCTCAACCTCCTTACTTCCCATCCACACTGTTGGGTACCATTTAGCTCACATGTTCCCATGGCACAGGGTGCATGGTGTTTTATAATGTCTTACCATGTCTGCAGCAGTGAAAGATGGCAGGGACCCTCCTGGTCTAGTTCTGATTGCCAGAGAGGTGAGGCTGTGTCTGTTGTAACCTAGGCCTCAGCCCAGGCTCTGCTGAGTAGATGCTTGCGAGTATTTCACCATTACGCATAAGCATTTGAGAATCTGCATTTAAAGCAGCGGTTAGCCCATAAATCATGAGAGTTACTATACCCTTCAGCATTGTCCCTATGAACAATAGGCTAGGAGTGGGTTTTTTTCTATGTAATTTTTCATACAAATTTACAGAAAAATGCAGGCTTCCTGGCGAACTGCCATGTTTGTGGAAGGCTGGTCAGAGATTGCAGCAGAATTTAGGCCTCAGTTCCTCATGGTCCGTGACTTCTGCTGGTGTCTGTGATGCAGCTCAGCATCAGCCTGGTTCAAGTCTTGCACCTCAGCATCACTGCCTGTGCAGTGCCGTGTGTGGCTTCTCCAGTCAGGCGTGCCACTAAACCCGCTTTGGGAGTGATAGGGACACTGCCCAGCTGCTGGACAAAGATTACAAGCATCAGAAAAACATTTCTAAGTCAGTGGTGCGGAGTGGTGACACCACAGCACATGGAGGTGGCAGGGGCTATGCGCACATCAGACACCTAACCCAGGCGCTCCTGAAGTGGGGGGGGTGAGGTGGGCGAGGGTGCCCAGTTCTGGCTAGGTACTGCCTGAATGTGTTTTCATCCTATTTTGTGATAGAATTATTAAACAGCCTTCCTACTGCTGCAGTTGGCTTGGCCCACCACACCCCAGTAGTAGCCAAAACCCGCTCTCACCAGCAGGTATGCCAAGCAGTTGCTCCCAACTCACCAGCGTGCAGCCTATATATGCATGGAGAAATGCCTTCTCTGCAGTTATTTACAGCATTAATAAATCAAACTGAAAAGCAGCACACATCCTAGCAAGGAATGGCTGCCATATATTCCCACAGCATTTCACTAAAACAGCATTGACAAAAAAAAAAAAAAAAAGCCTGACTAAAAATGTGACTAATGTGGGTCACCTGTCCCTGCTTCAAAGACAAAGGTGCCACTTTACCAGTGCCACAGTAGATGAGATGCTACAAATGCATTGGAACTCACTAATTAAAAAAACCCCAACACAATATTGAAGGAAAATCTTGGGTGATTTCAGAAGGTAGCCCTGAAGCTCAGGCTTTTAGCCATGTCCTTCACAGCTGATAGGAGCGATTGGCCAGAGAGAAAAAGGCATAATGATGCTGAAAGCTGGACTGAAAACTCTGTGGGCTGGGTGAAAGAACATGTAGAGCCCAGCCTAGTAAAGCACTTACTTACTTAAGTATGTATCTCGCTTTAGTGGATTATTTGTATGCCTGAAGTCAAGCTGAGGCCTAAATGATGCACCAGCACTTTAACTAGTGCTCAGGATTTGCACATACACAAGCAAAGGATTTCTTTTACTTTTTTTCTCCCCTCACCCCGTCGAAGATTTCTGTAAGCTGCAGGAGGCTGTTGCAGAAATGCTGCTTTTTGCTTCCCCATTCAAGGGCCCACGGGAAGGCACCGCTTGGTCCAGCAACCCCACGGTGCCCCATGGGCCTGCAGGTGACCAGGCTGCGATAGGATCACGTGGCAGTAGTAAACTCTGTAAAACACCACAGGCTGAGGAAATCCTTAACAAGAAAAACACCAAACCACAAGAGTCTTT